CCATAAGTTCCAATTGTAAACTACAAAGTCATTTCGTGGAAGAATTAGTTCGATAACCATATATTTTTATTTCAGAATTCTGAACATTACATTAACCCAAACCTTTTTGCTGCATTTTGAGGATTTTCTATAGGCAAGAGGATAACCATTTGGTTGTAGGAATGGCAAATTTTACTTCTGTCCCGGGCTGTAGGACCACCTTAAGTGTCCAGCTTTGTAATGCATTGTTCAGGTTGTATAAACTTTGACAAAATCCACTGCAATCTCATCTAATGAGAATTTTAAATATTGTTTGCAGGTGCAAAAATGACATGTACCACAATTCTTAACAGAAGAGTTGTAGTCATTCAAAAATTCCTATTTTAAATAGGCATTGACTCTCTCAAATTACCAGTTTCTCTTGCTGATATCTGCATTTGTTTTTGTTGCAAATGTCCCTTACACAAAAATTTGAGAGAAAAAATTTCTTTCCTCACTATTACAAATACCCATCAAAAATAAAAATTTATTTCACTTTTAACCCATTTGTACTTCTGTCTTTATCAAAGTATATAATCTATGATTTCAAATTAAGAGACAATATTATTTCCAATGTTGATTAAGATGGAATGCTCATTCCTTTGTTTTGTAAACTTTTTGTTGTATATAAGGCCTAAAATACTGTAATAAAATAAATGTATATATATATGATGAAACCCATATCGGTATTACAGTTATAATTTATATGGTACTTTTGTAAATCAACCAAGTTAAACTCTTAGAATGCTGTAATTTTACCCATTTGTACTAATTTTTCTATAATTTTGATGTTGATTGTGTACAAATATCTATATTCTCTCATTGGTTACAGGTCTTACTAGTATCCAAAATTATGCAGGCGGGTTTTGTGGAAAATGACAAACGTTGGACACCCAGAAGGTTAATATACCACAACCTAGTTAAAGCGAGAGGGTCGTCACCTGCTTAAAAACACAAAGGCTCATGGGTAGACGCAAGTTTGTAAACAATGACACGTTATGGCCATCTGACACATGTGACGACTCTCCTGCTTTTAATATTACTTCATTAAACCTTGGTATTTCTACAAATGGACTGTATTTCCTGTATGAATATTAGCACACCTAAACAGGAAATAAGGTTTGGTTTAATGCACTGTTTTGCTTAATGCTTGCCATTGTGTAGAATTTCAGGTGTGCTCAATCCACCGTAACATAATTAATGTTGTTTGTTAACTGTTCATAATATGCATCATAGATCATGATATGGGTAATCTGCTTATTTTAAAACACAGTATTTTATCTTATGGGTTTACATATTATTAATGTGGTTAGTAATACCGGCGTAATATTATTGTATTAGTACTTTTTGCTACTGTTATATGGTGCTGAAAGATTATAAAATCTTCATGTTTTTAATCTCGTAAGCAGGCAAAAATAAAATTAAAAACAGCACAAAAATTTTACATAAGCACATGCATGACTCGTACTGTATTTGCTCTATTAGAAGCACATGTAAAATATTTTATATTGAATTATTAAAATTTGGTTTATTTTAAACATTGATACAGCTTTAATTTATGGAAGCACATGTGCAACTAAAAAGGGAGTAGGTATACAGCAAACACAAGAATATATGGTTTAACTAAAACAAATGCCTCAAATTTTGTATTATAATGAGTTAAGTACCTGCACATTTTGCATGATTCATCGTATAATAAATGTTGGCAATTATCATTCATGAATAGGACAATAATATCATTGAAATAGGTGATGTAAATGGGCAGATCTGGCCAGTCCAGTGGGAGTGCTGGTTACTCATGAATATTAATTAGCATAATCACAAATGCAAATACATTTATGTGCTTAGCGTTTAATTCGAAGTTAAAATATTTGTTTATTTTGTCAGACCATTCATCCAAGCAACACTTAAATTTGAACAATTCACAAAAGCAAATTTTGGAGTATAATAGGGTATCAACATGAAAGTCTAGATTAGGTTGCACCTGCGCCCCCAGTGTCTTTTCCAGGAACAGTAGAAATAAGATATCCAATCGTAGATCCAAAAAGATACAGCAGTTGTATACGAAAATTTACAGGTCCAAGAATACCAAAACAAATGACTGACAAAATAGTATAGTGAAGTGCCTAATTAGCATAACAATGTTGTGCATCCAAAATTATAAAGTATCTCTTCTCCAACTCATTTGACTCCAGACTTATTTTTTCAAATATTTGTTTTGTTTTGTTTTTTCGTTTTTTTTTTTAATTAAATGTTTCATTGCTAAATTAGACACCTGGTTACCATAGTTGTCAATTTTGAAAATTGTATAAAATTATAATACTATTGTTAATTTTCTACAAATCTAGGCTATGTAATTCTGAAACAAAATTATTAAAATGATTTTGCAATGTATATATATATATATGTAAAACTTTTAATAAGGTTTTGTGAAACCATACAAGTGCCATGTCTGTTAATATTTAATTTCATATTTTCATCAAAATCCACATGTATGCTAAAATATGGCTCATAATAATGTAACAAAAGCTGCACTTTGTGTGCACGTGATCGTAAATTTCCCACAGTGCAGTCACGTGGTAGTTTGAGTGGCAGTGTGTACCTTGCTTTGCTTTGTTCTCGTTTCGGTACAGTCGGGCGTGGCTAAACCAGTGACGCTCGCTGGAGCATGGACCTATAAACATAGAGGGGAGGCAAGTGGGTAGCTGGTACAGTTTTACGCGAAATAAAAAGGGCTTTTTACAATTTACAAGGAAAAAAAAGACGTTTTTACAGTTTACGGTGAAAATTGAATTTTGCAGTGAATTGTGTCATCTAGTCGTTTTAGAGTTTTGAAAATGTAATTTCCCTGGAATACAGTATTCTTTACGACTTTTTTTATTTGGATGTAAATTCTTGAGCGTACCGAGAAAAATAACACATTTTTACGGTGTACGAAAAAAATATTTGATTGATTACGTTGTACGTCTAGCCTGTGATTACAGAATTTCAACTTACGTTGTACGAACAGAAAAATATTGAACGAAAATAACCCTCCCCCCCCCCAACATAGGTTTATTGGTCCATGGTTGTAGTAAAAAAAATATATTTTATTATTCTTGTAAATTGTGTACTGAATTCAAAGAATCGAATAGATAGGTTAAAGTGGCATGAATGATTTTTTTTTAAGCGAGTGAGTTCGGACGTAGGGGATACCATTAATTGATACACCGTAAATAATACAAGAGTAGCTCTTGCTTTTTCACTGTTTCTGTCTTCAAGAAAAATGACTGAAAAAAAGTACAGCTTCGTTGATGTATGTGACAATATAGACCCGAGGATCACATCCACTGGGTTATGAAAACTTTGAGAATAAAAGCATTTCACTTTCTCTTTGTCATATTTAAATTATTCACGTTGTCCTCGTCATTCACGAATTTTATACAGCATGTATGTTTTCAAGTCTTTGTTATATGACCCCCGAGGTGGGAAAAACGAATTCAGACCTGGTCGTTCGCAAGCCGTTGTTGGCACTCGGCCAACGAGAAGGGGCTTCCATTGTGTCCTGGCAACATAACAGAATTACAAACCATTATTTGAAAACAAAATTATAACTACTTTGAAGCACTGTGACGAGCTGTTCAGACCACTGAAACAAACTTTAGTGTCTGAGATCGCTGTCACGGGAATGGTCCCATGGGTGGAAAGCTTGCCCGTGAATTAAAAAAAAAAAAAAGTACGAAACTTGGAGATAGTAGCTCAAATGATTGTGCCATTGTGCCATGGTTTTATTTATATGCAACGTTGCAGTTGTGTAAAAACAAAAGAACTGAGATCGGGCAAGATGTACGTAATTGGTTACTGATAATCGGCGGTAATGGAAGTGTATATAATGTATACAAGGTAACGTTTTATGTTATTGGATAAAGTACCAATCCTATTTTAAAATACGAAATGTAACGACCTTTCAGAACACTTCATAATCTCGAGTAGTATTGACAACAGTTTCGCCACATTCCATGTTCACTAAAGTAGCTAAACGCCTAACACTCACGATTGCAGTTTTAAATTGCTGGCACAAATAAACGAGGGGGGAATTGCAAATAACATCGTAAGACGTTAACAGTGAAAATATTCCACGTTAGTTGTGTTAAATTTGTATATATTATCAATAATATCGGAATATAAATGTGGGCTGGAACGGCTTGATGTACATTATCGGACCCGATTTTTTTCTCTCTTTTTGCATTCACTACAGAAATGGCTAATACTTTTTCATATGTACAAACATTTGGCCAATGGGTGAAGTTATTCTTTGTATAATATATTGTATGTTAAGCCGCCATATTTTGGCGAATACCAGGCCACCCAAAGGGCAGAAAGATTGAACTTTCGTTTTTGTTTGTTATTTCCGTTCGAAACCATGATGGCAGTGTTATATCCTTCGCTGATGGTTCATACCTCGGATCCAGACACGCAAATTTAGGTTTAAATTTATAAACAGAATGTAAAAAAACAGAATAACTACTTGTGCAATATTTGTCAGCTCTTCAGAAATATTAAATTTCAAATTATATAGGTACACTAAGTAGCCCTACGAAACACTGAACATTTAAAGTCGTTGCTTTATTGG